CTTGCAAACTGCAGAAAGACTTTGTTTTTCCTGCTGGAAGAGAGCTACTGAAATCACCAACACACATGGGTCCTCTGGCTGCTGAAAGATGGTGGTTGGTCCTAAGGAAGTTGTCCTCCCCAGGGGCATAGCAAGGGCCATTCCAATAAGCAGCCCCACATCGGGCAGGCAAAGGAGGAGGATGAGGCTCAGGCACTGCTCTCAGGAGACAAGATCTCCTGTGCTAAGTCTTTTTTTGATGCTCCAAAAGGGCATTTTGAAATCTGAGGTGCTGGGCTAAATATTTGCTCAATCAATTCCGGTGATGTGTCAGGAGATGGTGATGCAAATCAAACAACGTGGTGACCTTGCTCACAGCACAACCCTTTCCATTCATTACCTCAACAGATATCAGTGGGGCCTCTGCCATATGCCTGGCAGCGGGGTTGGATGTGGTGAGCTATGCAAATGCAAGTGAACAGGGCCTGCCTTCTGCAGCACCGCTGGTTGCATTCGAACTGCCAACCTTTAGGTCAGTAGTCGAGTGTAAACCATTTGCCCCACCCAGGAACTTGATAGGGGCCATGTGAGCAGAAATTAATATCAGGCCAACCACACTGGATAGCATGACGCCAGTCTGCCTTAGGGAGCAGAGGAGGTGTTTGTGCGTGATCTTAGTAGAAGGCAGATTCCCAGGGATAAGGGGGTGTTCTGGGTGATAGGGACCTGCAGGAGCAAAGGCTTGGAGGTGGGACACTCTGGGGCAACCTGGGAAGACAAGAGTCTTTTTGTGGCTGAAGTCATTGGATAAATGCAGGTAAAAGGAGGGACTGAGGCAGGAGACGCAGGCAGGCACCAGATCACAGAGGGCCTTTCCTGCCAAGGAGGAGTATGAACTTTATTTCATAAGCAATAGGGAGCTGTCTTAGGCTGAGTTCTCTAGAGAAGCAAAACCAGTAAAGTGTATAAATATATATATAGAGAGAGATTTATATCAAGGAAACAACTCACGTGATTGTAGAGGCTAGAATGTCCCAAGTCTGTGGATCAGAGTAGAGGCCTCTCCCAAGTCATGCAGCCGAAGAAGCTGGCAAACCCAAGATCGGCAGGTCAGAGAGTAGGGCTCCCACTCACAGGCTGTGAAGGCTGACAAATTCCAAGATTGGCAGTCAAGAACACAAGGTTTCTCCTGATTCATGTAGCTGCAGAGGCTGCTGGACCCAAGATCGGCAGGTCAGAGAGCCGAGCTCTGCTAACAGGCAGTGAAGATTGACGAATCCCAAGTTCAGCAGATAAGCTGACAGCTCAAGTCCCAAGAACCAGACATGAGACGACAGGAAGCAGCCACAGGATCCAGAGGGAGCAAAAAGCCAGAACATCTGCTTATATTCAGATGCAGGCCACGCCCCCAAGGAGAATCCCTTTCATCTGATTGGCTACTCACAGTATATTCAATCATGGGAGTGATCACATTAAAACACTGAGAATCATGGCCCAGCCAAGTTGACACACAATCTTAACCATCACAGGAGCCATTGACTGTTTTTGAGTAGGGGAGGAATGAGCTTAATCAGAATAAGGAGGCATCACTCCACAGGCTGAATTGAGGGTGGACGAAAGGATTGGGGACCTGTTCCTCCTTCCTCCCCTCCACTACACCAGGGTTTCATTCAGTCACTTCACCCCAGCTGTGCTGTTGAGTAACCTTAGCCCTTGGCCTTCTTTCAGTCTTATCTTAGTCTCTTAAGCCCTCCCACCTCCTCTGTAGGGGTGGAGGTGAAAGCAAGTCAGCCTGACTTTGTTTCTTGTATGGCTATTGGAAAACAGAATCCAACTTCCCAGCTGGTGCAAGGGGAAATGGGTCAATATTTGAGCTCAACGTGCTTGCTTTTCAGCCAATAAAACCCAAAAAAAAACAGAGAGGTGAACAGAAGGATGCATTCCTTTGAGCCTTGGAAGGCCCCGGGGTCCTGAGCATTTGCCAGGCCTTGTAACTTAGCATGGAGCTGGTGTGATCAGCACAGGATGATCTTGCTCAGCGATTTCCTCGTCGGAACACTTTCCTTTGTCAATGTTCTCCCGACAGCTGTTCTTCTGTCCAGCTCCAGGCTGTGTTTTAGAGGTGAGGAGGGAGTGAGAGAAATCCCCTTTGGTCTTTCCCTTCCTCTCTTCCACAATAGCTTTTGCTAATTAAATGTGGTCTATCTATTGCTCTGGATATTGGTTTCCTCGTTTCCTAAAAGGAGGCTTTTCCTGTGGTTTCAGTACTATATGGGCTAGGGACCATGTCACACAATCCCTGAGATATATGGACTCTTGAACAATTGTCAACGCTGGAGGTGGCTCTTGAACCTATTCTTCTCGGTCACCAGCAAAAAGACTGTGGTTTCTGACAGTGAGATGTCCTGCTTTCCCAAGACAAGGACCCAGGCCCACTGGAACTTTTTCTCTAGTCCAGAGCCTGAGTTTCCAGAACTGGCCATGAGCCTCCCGGGCACTGAGCAGGCCTCTTGGGGAGGATGTGGTGAGTGGCCTCCTTTCCTGAGCCCCGAAGTTTCTGTAATAGCCCCATCTTTCAGTCCAGCATAGGCTTGGTAGAGAGACCCCACCCTTGCTAACGAAGGGAGAGAGCTGGAGACCTGAGTCGTTACCTAGAACCTTCTGGAAGATCAATTAGGAACTTCAGGCACCATGATTGTTGTGGTAAGAGTCCACAAGACTTCTTCAGTGTTTGGAACCTCCCCCGTCTGGGATTCTGTGTCAGTTTTCCTGAGTAGTAAAAATCCTAAAATAAGAAGTATTTGGGGATCTCCCGAGGGTGGTAGACCTGGGGGGAGGGACCCCCAATTCAGAGTGATGTGGCTGCAGCATTGACTGTCTGGGGCCAAAGGACTAATGGTAATAATAATATTGATAGCTAATGTTTGAATGATGCAAGAGGTTAACATGCTTGGCTACTAACCAAAAAGTTGGCAATTCGGGTCCACCCAGAGGCACCTTGGAAGAAAGGCCTAGTGATCTACCTCCAAAAATCAGCCATTGAAAACACTATGGAGCACAGTTCTACTCTGACACACATGGGATCATCATTAGTTGGAGATAACTCAGTGGCAACCGGTTTCGCTTTTTGTAATGTTAGCATTAAAAAAAAAAAGTTGCCATTGAGTTGATTTTGACTCATAGTGACCCTGTAGAACAGAGTAGAACTGCCCCATAGGGGTTCCAAGGAGTGGCTAGTAGATTCGAACTGCTGACCTTCTGGTTAGCAGCCGTAGCTCTTAATCACTGCGCCACCAGGGCTCCAATGTTAGCATAAAAAAACTGTTGCCGTCAAGTTGATTCTGACTCATAGTGACCCTGTAGGACAGAGTAGAACTGCCCCATAGAGTTTCCAAGGAGCATCTGGTGGATTCGAATTGTCGAACTTTTGGTTAGCAGCCATAACTCTTAACCTCTATGCTACCAGTGTTTCCAATGTTAGCATCGCACTATCTAAAACACTTCACATATAAAGTGTTTAATCCTCATAAACAGTCTATGAGGTAGGTAGTATTATTATCATCATCTCTGTTTTATAGATGGGGATCATGAGGTTTAGAGAGGTTAAGCTACTTTCCCAAGATCACACAGCTTCTAAGTAGTAGAGTTGGTGTCTGAACCCAGGATTCTGACATTATCATGCTGGCAACCACACTGCCTCACTGAGTGGAGCAAAAAGGGCCGCTGGAGGGTGGCAGAGGTGAGTGGTGGATGGTGAAGCATTATGGGAACTCTTGCCCTGGGCATGAGTAGAAGCAGAGGGTGAACTGAGCCTCAGGAAAAGGAAGGGGATCTCTTCTGGCTGGGCTGTCCCCGGCTCAAATGGTCCTGGGGAACTCTATATCTCTAATCAGCAGCTGGAGGCCATTTTGGCTTGCTGACCATCAGTAACACTGACAGGATCCACCAGGAAGTTCCTGAGGTTAGGACAAACAAAGCCATGGTCTGCCAGCTTGCCTCCTGCTGTGGGAGAGGGTCGGGGTTTATTCTCACAGGTGGGAGGGAGCAGGGCTTTATTCTCATGGACTCTGGGTGGAGTAGTGTCCCTGTGGGCAGAGCAGGACCTGCTGAGAGAATTCACCCCTCAGACTCAAGATGGTCTGAGCTGGAATTGTTCAAGAAACTCTCTGGATCAGCCTTATATTACCCAGTTGGGGAAACTGGGGCCCAGGAGGGAAGGGGATGTGCTCAAAGTACCAGAGCAAAGCAGCTGCAGAGTTAGATATGAGCACAGGCCTCCAGCTGCAATGTGGGGCTTTCTTTTCTGCAGCACGTCCATGGCCACAGTCATCTATGCTGGGAGAGACATGCCACATCTCCATGGTCCCATGTGGGGTATACCTGTGCTACCCCAGCCTGGTGCCCACCTCATGAGCCCTGTCATGGCGCTTTGGTTGGTGCTCTCCTCTGCTGAGGCTTCCTAAAACCCTGCTCTGGAACAAGGCACCCCTGCCCCAGAGAAGCTTCTGCCCACACAGCCTGCACCTGTACAGACACTGAGGCTCACCTGCACAGGCAACGCTGATCTGGGTCACAGTGCACAGCTGGGCCTCCCCTTCCACACACACCTCAGACAAACACCATCCCTGGGGCAGGCACCCAGTGGCTCCCCACACGCATGTATGTGGAGTCAGGTAGGTCAGAGGGCCAGGAAAGGGGACTCATATTTATTGAGTGCCTACTACGTGCAGAACTCGAACCAGACTTCTTTTATCCATCCTTCTGTTTATTCCATACAACCACCAGAGAGGGTTTCTCCCACTCTCCAGGGAAGGAAACGTGCTCAGAAAGGTGAGATGACCTGCCCAAGGTACACAGCCTTGTGGAGCTGGTTTCCATCCGGGCTTATCTAGTTACTCCTACACCCCTCTCCTTCACCAAGGGCTTCTGCCCAGGCCCATTCCATGCATCCCCATCGCACCGAGCCCCCTGGCCACAACCTCATCCTTATAACAAAGAAGCCAGCCTCAGGTCACAGTGGGCTATGATTTCGTGGGGTCGACAACCTTGCCCATAAAGAGGATGCTCTGGGTGCTGGTGGAAAGGATCACCACTAGGAAAGGCCGGCTGAACCTCAGGACACGGGGATTCTTTGGGGCACTTTTAAACACGACAGAGAAGCCGGTGGCTGCTGCAGCTTTGGTGCCGACCTCATCCACATCCAGAATGGCCTTGTGGAAACTCTGGGAGGGAAATCACAGGCGTTAGCACCAAGAGGACGTGAGTGGGGCCTGAGGAAGACTGGAAGAAACTGAAAGTTCTGGAGCTCAACATTGCACTTCACAGCCCCCAAAGCCACATATTGGGGAAATAGCAACAGGACTTCCTGTACTGGGTGGATTGTTGAGTGGGATGACCTCTTATTAGGGACAATCATGATAGCTACCATCAGTTGAGCACCTACTGTATGCCTAGTGCTCTGCATTGTCATCTGGTTTAATCTTCGTAACCACCCCTTGTGGTCGGTGGTGTTATATCCATCTTACAAAGAAAATAAATTCAGAGATTATGGAACATCCCAATGACATAAAAGGCAGAACCAGGATCCAAACTCTCAAACCCTCTATGGTACTCATGCCTTTCTCACTGAAGTCGTAGGTACCTCCCACTTGCCTAAAAAGTCTTCCCTGATACATACCCAAACCCAGCTTTGTCTGTAAGCTTCCTCTGATTCTCCCACTGCATTTGTCACTCTCTGTTGCCATCATCTATGATGGCTCTGTTCCCCATTTTGACTGGGAGAGACTTAGAGGGCAGAGACTGGTTGGACACTGAGTCTCTAGCACCAAGCACCATAACCAGCACCTACCTGTGGATGACAGAACACACTCAGGAACTGAGTCTCCACGTGGTGGGAGGATCACCTATCACCCAGCAGCTCCTGAGTGCCCAAAATCCCCACTGAGGTCTCTAGGGATTGGAGAAGAGCCACTGACCATCAAAAACTTACTTTGGACATCTTTAGGTTCAGCGTTTTGGTGATACCGGAGAAGTTGGCTTGCTCTGAGAACAGCTCAGCAAAGCCCAGCCTGGGCAAAATCTGATCCAATTCATAGGAGCCAGAAATGGAGAACTTGGGGAAATGCAACTCTAGCTTCCTGTAGAAAAAGGCCCTGAAAGGTGCACTGAATTAAATCATTGAATTCACAAATAAGCTGGGGATCCCTGCAGGGTCTGCTCCCCCTGACTGCCTCTCTGCTGGCTCTGCTCCATCTGAGTTCTGTCCCAGAAAGACTATTGCTCATGCCACTCTCTCACATGAGTGCTCACAGTGGCTTAAGTCCAGTCTCCTTCATCCCTGGGCCTGCTATCTCTGGGATCCCCTTCCCTTGTGAGCTCATCTTCAGCAGAAGTTGCTTCTGGGGCAGTGTCATGTGCCCAGAGAGATCTGAGTCTTCCTCTGTAGCCACTTTTCATTTACCTCTGTTGGTGCCCTGTGGGTTTCACTTGGACCAGTTGATTTTTGCCTTGGATTTCCTCTACCACACGAATAGTTTGTATTTACTATTCACAAGTGTATAGAGGGAGACCCTCAGAAAGGCAGCATCGTTTTACTCAAGTGTGTGGAGTGGAGGACCAAGGTCAAGGATCTAGGATTCTTTACTCCTAGTCTGCTCTTTTCACTGATGAGGGAGAACTCATATTTGGGAAAAGAGAATCTTATTGGAGTGCAATAGGAGAGTTTTTTATTTAAAAACACCCATGGAAAATGTTAAAGCAAATGAGAATTCTTTCATAATTGGGCAATCACTCCCTATTTTGGGCACTGACTTTCTTTAGAAGGGTGCATTTGAAGGGGAGTGGCGACCATAGCCTCAGTACCCCTTCCTTCAATGATTACCTCTTCTGGAGCAAGTTGTTCCACCTTGTTAGCATCTCTGGAGTCAAAGCCTCTTCCATCTGCCTCATTTTCCCTGGGTTTGGAAGAATGAAAAATGCCACCACATCCCCTTCATAGTTCATCCGCAGCACTGAGCAGGGCAAGTATCTGTCGTGAAGATACCAGTGGTAATGGTCATCCTGCCACATCATGGGCACCTGGACAGTTGTGCTTGCATCCACATGGAAGTCCTCAGGAGAGGTCTTGGATGGACTGAATGGTTTCTCCCACAGAGCTGAGGGAAGAGTGACAGAAAGTAGAGGGCCTCTGAGGACCACAAAGCCAATCCCCAGCCAAGGAATGGCTCCTGGTCTTCTATGCCATCCAAAGGCCATTCCCAATCTCAGTGTTACTATCCCATGGCTGCGCACCACTCAGATAATTTAAAACCTGACATGCCTGGGGATTGGATCCCCTAGGGTTCATTTAGATTTTAAAATGGAGATACCAGAGAATGTTTGCAGATGTGTGAATAGGATCACTGCAATAGGAAGAGAAGGATGATGCTGGAAAGAGGCAATTATTGTTGGATCAGCAACCTTGAGAGGAGAGAGGAGATGGCAGAATGTGAGTAGAGGGACAGCCTTTGATGAGAGGTGGGTCACTTCTTCCTTTAGAGGAGGAATTGGGATGGCTGAGATTGTGGGTCCAAATGAAGAGAGGTAGATTGATTGAAGGTGAGAAGATGAGAGACTTGCTGATTAACTGATTGTTTGCTCAATGACGTATGAAGCAAGATTATCAAGTCAAAGTGAAGAGTGGGAAAAGGGGATTGAGAAGGAAGACACTGTTAATAGTTGTTTTGGAGAGTATAGAATGAAGACCCTGGAGATGGGTAAGTAGGATTGGTGGACACTGTGACGTGACCCTTGAAGATACATGTTCATGAATTTCAAGTGAGGCCATCTTCACACTGGGGTCTTTTTCTTCAACCACACTTAGCTGCTGGGCACAGATATAGATAAACTGGATCATTAGTTCATTTCAAGTTAGACTGTCAGCATATGTGGATTTTTTTTTTTCTCCAACCACATTGAATTTTTAGTGCAGATGTAGATAAGCTAGATGATTAGATTTCAGCAGATTTGCAGTTTTGCCAGATAAATATGACAGAAGGAGAGAAATTTAAGGAAGTTTAGTGTGTTTGCAAGGAAGTGATTATAAAGATAATCCATTAAATCTATACTGCAGAGGTGTGGTCCACATGGCAGACTAGTTAGATGCTTCCTATATCCCTCTTACAACAAAGACCTGGAAAAACAAGTTATTTGATTCTATGTGAACATCTGACAACCCTGAACAAGGCAAGGTTAAAAAACCCATCTGAGTCATACCGGAGAGGAAGATTGTTTGGAAGAGGTGAGGAGCGCTAGAGTCGCGGCAGCGACACAGCAGAGACACAGCCATGCCAGGCCGCGGTGAAGCAGGCAAACAGCTGTGCTGTGTGCACACTCGAGAAGCAGTTTCCACATCGAGAGAGACCCAGCAGCAGAGATTCTGCTTGGACGCTCTGAACCAGTGAAGAGCAGCTCCCAAGAGGCTAGGATAAGTACATGCGCGCACACTTTCATGGCGAGTTAAAAAAAAAAAACCCATTTGGGAAAAACCTCTCTCCCTTTTACCTCCTATCTCTGCACTCTGCACCGGATTTTGGGAAAAACCTGTCTCCCTTTTAACTCTTACCTCTGCGCTGTCCACCTGATTTGGGAAAAACCTCTCTTCCTTTTACCTTCTCCCTCCCCGCTCTGCACCTGGAGTCCACTGGGCCAGAAACAGATCCCAAAAGGTGCCCTGACCCATTCTCCTGGCCTTGGAGAGGGAACAAATAAGCTGCTGGCTCCCCTAGGCCAGGAGCACAGGGTCGGCACAACTCCTTTGCTGGCCATAGAAATCAGGGGTCCGCAGACTCTGAGTGCCATACACCCCTGTATAGACTTGTAGGGACCCATCTCAACAGAATTGCCCCTCACTACCACAGTACAACAGGGCAAACATCTGAAGTTTAACTTCAACTGCTTCAGCTGTGAACGGGCAGATTTGTGATCCTCGAAACAGCCCTGTCCCTCAAGTAGGCACTTTTATCGATCTGCAGCAGGGTCTTGAGGACTGGTGATAGCTCCTAAAGTGCCTAGTCACCTGCTACAGGAGTTCAGGAAGGAGTGGTGCCCTCCAGTCTTTGCAGCCAACATAGTGGGGTACTCTTAGCCTGGCTGCAGAACTCACCTACCTATTCACCCTAGAAAATAGGGACATGCTTTTCTTTCAGACTCTCAGGGGCAGCCGTCGGCCCCCTGCCTGGCTCAGCATGTGATCCCCTACCACAGCCAGAGTCCAGTGCCTCTCTAGGACTGGGAGTGAGAGCCTGCATCACACACTTGGTGATCGACTGCCTGCACACCCGAGCTGATCCCATATAGGAAATTTTAACTAACTCCAGCATGCACATACTTAATTACAGAACCAACTACCTGGTGACAGGACATTAGAGATCAAAGGTGTCAAAAATCAGACTAGTGCACACGAGCAGCCTATTTGGGTATATCAAAACAAAACAAAATAAGAAGCTAGGTCTCACTAAACAAACACAAAATAAAATTATAATAAATTATTGATGGCTTGGAGACAACAGTCAATATCAAGTCACATAAAGAGGCAGTCCATGATGGCTTCAGCAAGCTCCCAAAATAAAGAATCAATAAATTCTCTGGAGAAAGAGAACTTCTGGGAATTACCAGAGACAGAATACAAAAGATTAATATACAGAACTCTTCTAGAAATAAGAAAGGAAATTCGACAGAA